ATAAGATTTGAGATGACATAAGCAATTTGTAGATTCGATTAGCGTACGATCGTTGGAGAATTTTTAAAATTAGCATGTTATCGAAATTCAAATTTATTGTGATTTTGCCCCTATTTGGTAGAGATTCAAATTAAATTTTTAGTGAATTTTGATAAAAGTTATGGATTCAATGAAATATATTATTAAAATTAATTGTTAACTTTGATTTAGATTAATATTTAGATTTCAATTTATATCAAAAATGACTTTAAAAAAAAAATCTCTAAAGTTGGGGGCACCAGGACCCCCCGGGTCCGCCAATGTTCAGACTTGGCTCTACCCATGAGCCGTTCTGTCTCGTTTTGAAATGTGTCGTGCATTGAGTCGAACATGGCAGGAAAAGAGACAAATCATGAACTCGTAAGAGGTTCTTCATTTGTCAAAAAATCAAGAAATTGTGAGTTTTATTGATTTGATGTGTTTTTTAGTTTTTTGTGGCGGAGCTCGCAAGAAAATGGTGAGCTCCGCCATGCCGGATGTCCAGACAATCTAAAAGATGGCTGATAATTGTGATTTTTATTATTTTAGGATAGAATTTGGGATTGGACGAGAATGAATGAACAAGAACAAAGTTGGACATCTATAATATATTAAATATCGTATCAAGTGAGAATCATTTTCTAGACGATTTTAGCTCTACTACAATTTAATTATTTCAATAGTTCATTACTTTTCGTTTTTCAATATATATTTAATTGAATATATATTATTAAATATGCACGCAAATCAATAATTAAATTGTATTAGAACAATCAAATTGATTCATGAACATAGAATTTAATCAATTTGAATAAATGATTATAGAAAAAGAATAATGTATAAGGGTGTAAGTAAACCAACATGAAATTTAAATAATTTGAATTAATAGATATAAAAAAATATAATTTATATTCATTTAAACAAAGGGGTGTACATGAATCAATAAGGAATTTAATTAATTTGAATCAATGAATATAGAAATAGGATAATTTATATACATTTAGACAAATTGCGTTATATCAAAGATTAAATGAATAATATTGAAATTAAAGAAGTGTACATGAACTTGAATAATTTATCTATTTCTATAATAATTGGATAACTCCCAAATTATATGATCTTTAATAATTTATAGATTTCTAGAATAATTTATGATAAAATGAATAATTTTGAAAATAAATACGTGTTCATGAACTTCAATAATTTATTTACTCCTAAAATAATTGAATAGCTCCCAAAACATGTGTACATGAACTTGATGATTTAATATTATATTTAATATATCAATAAATAAATGTTAATTAGTATACATGCGCATACATAAATAATTGAATTGTAGTATTTCTATAGTAATTGAGCAGCCTTCAAAATATATAAAGTTTGCATGCAT